TCTACAATTGTTCTTAACAACGCGTTCAATGAAAGCAATCAAAGACTTAATGGCAACCTGATTTAAAGAATTCGCCGAAGCAGCAACCATCATGGTGCCAGCACAGGCGTAACAAAGCCCTGCCAAATCAACAGCGTTTCCACTACCTAAAACATATCCAGTCCCCGAAGTCGCCACCACCAGCATACTAGTATCCCCAAAATCAAGTCAAAATTAAAATAAAAATCAAATATTCAAAATTCGCATAAAAAAATCAATTGAGATTTGACCTGAGACGAGCCTTGGAGAGCTCCCAGTAACATCGGCCGTAGTGACGAGCTATCTGGATCGCATCATTAGCTTTGAAACCATCAGTTTTGTTAGCGAGAAACCCTAGCTTTATAACGGAGTCCGATGAAGGAGATGGTGAAGGCGCCGCCGATGAGGAGTAGAAGCGTTGATGAGAAGGAGAAATTGGGTGATCCACGACGGCGTTTGGAGCGAAAATTGAGAAAGCGGACGCGCCACGGAAGTAATTAAAATTGGCGGAGGAGGAAGAAGCAAGAAGCTTCGAAGAGAAGCTTAAAGTGACGGAGTTTCGCCACATGGTTTTCTAAAAGGCGAACTTTTTTGAAGAAAAATTGGGCAATTTAGAGGCTGAAATCTCGAAGATGCCGAGTTCTTACCGGGTACAGAAATGAGCCGCCGAGTTAACACACATAGGCTGGGAACCAATGATGAATCCCGCTGCTGATGACTTTACTCACTCCAACCATAATGCATTTGTATAAGGTCTAAACATGTCAAAAATCTCCCTATTATTTCATTTTTACAATTTAGTTCTTCTATTTTATTTTTTAGGGTAAACTACACGTTTATTGCCTCAACTATCACTTTTGTTCTATTTTTATCACTTAACTATTCTTTTGTTTCAATTTCATACCTAACGTTACGTGTTAGTTTCATTGTGGTCACCTACCGTTAGAAAACTAACAAAAATTTATTTATGTGATATTTTCTTTTAATTTTTCCAATGATGAAGTAGTATTGGTGACACATCAGCATCACTGTTAATTTTTTAACGGTGAGAGATCAAAATTAAAATAAAATGTAACGTTAAATATAATTTTGAAACAAAAAATAGATGGATGACTAAAATAGAATAAAATCAGTAATTTAATTACTAAACATGTAATTTATTCATATTTTTATAACATTAAATTTTTATACTCTTTTATTTTAAAACTTTTAATTATTCATTAATTTGGTCGTTGTAAAAAATAAAATAACTTTTGTAATTAGCTACATTTACAATTTTTTATATTTGATTTATTAGTCAATTAGTCTAAAGATACCACACAAATCTAATGGAAATAATTCTCTCAACCTAACTGAAACTACATTTACAATATTTATATAATCAGGGATGGATCTAGGCGGGTAGAGGCGTTCGCTTCCTTTAAATTTTTATATATTTTGAATTTTTTTAAATATATTTTTACCCTTTTAAAATTTTATAAAATCGTCATGCTAACATAAAATTTTGTGTTGATCCCTATCCGTATAGGTAGTTATGGTTGGAATGCAAATTTTGTAACAAGTGAGTAATAAATTTACTTTATTTTGTTGATTGAAACGATGCTAAAGAATAAAAAAATTATATTATCTTTAAATAATAAATTAATATTTTAATTATAAAATTTTAATTTAATATAAAAATTAAACATAATTAATAGAAGGTGTATAATAAAATATTTATAAAATGGAAAATAATTAATATTTTTATAGTAAAAATATCCGAAGTAGTTTTGGGAATAATCTAGGGAAAGAAAATTTTGAAATATAAAGGTATTTCAGAATTATTTTGGGATGTAAAACCTTGCATGTTGAACTCCTCACGTACACGCAATAAATTTTATAAAATATATTAAAACACTGAAATTTATAATAGGAAACGAAACAAAATTTATAAGTTTTCAAAATGATTTCAAAACTATATATTATATAAATAATGTCTTAGGTAGCGCTTTACCGGATATGTTAGCAAAACCGATAGCGTCTTTTCTTAGTCGTATATTAACGCCGCTGCACCTGAGACTTCCCTTTCTTTGTTCTTTCCTCCTCCTTGTAGGATATATCAAAGAGTTCAAAGATTGTGACATGTGTCATTTAATAGGGTTTTATAACGGTTGTTACGACCGACATGGGCGGAATTACAACAAAAATTTTGGGGTGTCAAATTTAGAAATTATATAAAGATTTTTTTTAAGGTGGGAAAATTGAATTTTAAAATTTTTATTGTTAAATATTTTTTAAAATATGGGGTCAATTTCTTTTTTAAAATATGTCAAAATATTTCTAAAAAGGGGTGTCGTTTTTTCTTTTATATAATATTATATATAATTTATATGGGTATAAATAAAAATTTTAAAACTTTTGGGGTGTCAATGGGGTGCCAATTGACACCCGTTAATATATACTGACTCCTCTAGTGACGATCGAGACACCTAAAGTGGTAATATTTATAACGTTAGAAACCTGGATAAGTCAAAAAAATATTTTATGTACCTATTCTAAAAAAGCTGTATAGTTTAAGCACGTATGTTAGTATTAAGCCAAATGAGAATGATGTTTATTTATATATAAATTAAGAAAATTAACAACAAAAAGAAAAGAAAAGAAAAACAACATCAACATGTCACCGCCAAAGACAATACTTTTTTAAAAAATAAAGTACTTTAGAAAAAAAAATAGAGTTAACAGCTAAATATTTTATTTAAGAATTATAAAAATATGACATTTAAATATTATAATTTTATTTAAGAATATAAAATATGACATTTTATGCTTAAATTGTTGAGTTAAAAGTTACATCTATAGTATTTATTTGACTATCATAATCATGAATATAAATTTCATATATATTCCTAAACAAATAGGGACTGAACAAAAATATATATAAATGATTAGAAACATCAAAATACACAAAAGATAAGTAATCCACAATTATGTAAACTATTTTATGAAATAATATTGTAAATTAAAATAAAGAAACTGGGGAGGTAAATGAGACGAGACATACCTGAACTAATTAAGATTGACTCGATCAAAGCTTGATAAAAACTCGACTCGAGTTCTTAATGAGTCAAAACAAACTACTTGATACTCGACTTTAAAAGCTTGCAAGCTACTAAAAAATATAATATATTAAGATTTTATTTTTTTAAAAAATTAAATTATTAATAGTATTAACATTTATGTTTTGTTTTTTCTTTAAATTACAGTATAAAGTTTTCATGTATTTAAGGTTCAGGTTCGAGTTTCAGCTTCAATAGAATTAAGTTTAAGATTTTTTTCTTTTCGAGTTTTTTTTAGTTTTTACGAGCTTCAATTCATGATTTCGAGTTCGAGTCAAGCTTAAAAGTTTTAGACTCATAAATTTTTCGAACTGAAATGAACTTTATTTTAAAAAATTTAAATCGAGTCGAGCTCAACAAATATTCGAGCTACTGTTGACTAGTTTACAGCCCTAAAAGAAACTCTTGGTGACGTAAAAAAAGTATTAATTTGAGCTTTCAATTCACAGAAATGGCGGACAATATTTCTTATGTTTTTTTTTGGTCAGAGTGTGGTCCTATTCCACTATTAAAGATTTAAAATAACGATTATCAAAAATAAAATAACCATTTATTATTTTTTTAATTTAAACAATTATTCTTGATTCTGAGCTCAATATCAACAAAGTAGATTTTAACTATTTTTACAAAAATTTAATCAATTGAAATAACTAAACTCAAAATTATTAAAACTTTAATATTCAATTAAGACTTTAAATTTTATATAGAAAAATTAATAAATTTATCTTAAACCCATATATAATTAAACTAAATACATGTTTAACGTTGTAATTTCAATATAAATAAACAGTTAAAACACACAAGCGCGCGCGCGCACACACACATATATATATATATATATATATATGGGACAGAATATGCATACACTATGTAAAATTAATAGGTCTTATACCAATTTATATCCATTATATTTCAATAAATAAATGACTTAGATTTAATTGAAATTTATAACTCACAAATAAATATATTTTAACTCGCAATAAAAAAATCTCTTTTTACCACAATCTTAAATTCTATACACTATGTAAAATTAATAGGTCTTATACCAATTTATATCCATTATATTTCAATAAATAAATGACTTAGATTTAATTGAAATTTATAACTCACAAATAAATATATTTTAACTCGCAATAAAAAAATCTCTTTTTACCACAATCTTAAATTCTAAACCCTAATCTCTAAATTCTTAAACTTTAAACCCTAAACAAAAAACTATTATTTTACTGTGAGTCAAAGAAATATTTATTTATGAGTTATAAACTTTAATTAAATCTAAGCCATTTATTTATTTAAATCTAATGGCTATAAATTAGTGTAAAACTTATTAGTTTTACATATTGTAAGTAGATCCTAATCCTATATATAGTCTGAAATACTTGTAAGATAATATGTCCATAATATTTCTTAGTAATTGACAACATACATCTATAAATAAAGCTACTCGAACCCAGAATCTCAAGAGAGAACAATACTCTTTTTAACCAGTAAGGTCAATGAATTCATAATTATAAATATACTTATAAATATATATATATAAATAAACAATAATAGGGATATGATTATTAGACCTTAATGGATACGTGCAAAATTTTGAAATTATAGGGTAAGTGAAATTCTCATCAAACCTCAAAGTTTGTACTTTTCACCAACAATTTACAAAAGCTTTGGAATTCTTAGTAACATACATTGAGGTCCAATGGCTTTTTGAAGAGTTTGTTTTCACATCCATTTTCTGTACCAACATTGATTCTTTCAGAAATTCAATTCAAATGCTTATTCTGCAAAAACATTTACAGATCATACTTTGATTAATGGTGGGAAAATGAAACCAAAGAGAGAGGGGGGGGGGAGTGAACAATAACTTCGGAGGGAGAAAATTACTGAGGTGAACAGATGAAGAAGGTACAGTTAATTAGTTATCAGACAACGAAATTCTCAGACAATAGAGCGGCGGTCGTAACACCGATCAAGCAAACTACGGCAATTAAATCTGCCATCCCGAACGATGAGTCTGATAAGAAGTATAGTTTATGACCATTACTGTCACCCCTGAATCCCCTAACTATCATGGCCTGTAGAAATACAATACACTTTGTCAGATATTTTACTTTAACGGAGGCTGAATTACTCGTTCTCATTGAGACTGAATGTCCAATACGGGTATGTGTCGGATATGTTTCTCTATATGTTGGAGGATCATATCCCTAGCTATGCCTGAATGTGACAGAAATAAGTACTTTAAGAAAAATAACAAGCCACGAGTGACGGAGTGGAGAAACCTCACCAAGCAAGTTAGGGTAAACCTATAGATCTAGGTTTACTGAAATAGAACCATTCAAAGGCATGGAAATCGATTGTCAAACTCGATTTGTATATTCCAGTTGGATATTATAGTTTAGGATGGTTAAACATGATCCAAGATTTTGTCATCGGCAACAGTAGTGTTAAAATGGAACAATCATGCATTATTCATCAAAGGCACAAGCAACCTATTGATCCATACTTGGGAAACTTCACTAAAAAGGATGACCACATATGGAAAATGCTAAATTTTCTTCCCGGAAAATAGTGATTTTAAATAAATGTTGGAGTTCGGTAAAGAAATAGCATGTAAAAGAGCTCAGTCTGAATATGAACCTGTGAGATTTGCTCTGCATGCTTAAAAATATTCTTGAAGATCCGCTGAATGTAGGAAGCAAAAACTGAAATTGAAGCCCAAGGAAAAGATTAGATGCGGATAACGGTCTCAATGAATTTGTCCATCACAAAATTGAGAAATGAACAATCTGTAATTTTGTCATGAAAGCTAGCCATTATGCAAAAAAAAATCTTTTACTTTATTATGGCCCATAAACTTAAATTTTCGTCCCACACACACAATCAAGGGAGAGGGAGAGAAAGAGAGAGAGAGAGATCCTTGTCAAGTGAATATTCTTACCATCAACCGTCTCCTTCATCGTCAACTGCTGCCAATTTATCCTACGAGATACAATCCCCAACGCAACATTACGAACCTGTTCACACATGAATTTTGACATGATTAATCCCACATTAACAAACACAAGCATAAAACAAGAAAAATTTCCTAGTAAAGAGAATGCAGTAGTACTGTCACTATCTTTCTTACCTCATCAAACACTAAATTGATAAACCTCAAGGAAAGCATGAGTGTAAGAACAATTTCAGCCACTGGTACACCTATATATCTCAAAGGGAGCATAAACCACCGCAAAGCAAATGCAAGTTGTTCTGGGGTCGTGGTTGCTAAGCAGAGGCTTGCACTTTGAAAGATCTTTCAAAAAATAGAGACCTATCTCAGAATTATAAAGAGTTTGTTTGTTTCTCAAACACAATACTGCTGAGCTACTATGCAAGACATATACATATTTGTGTAGTTACATAGTTGCCTATGTATATCTCGTAGAAGGTTTTACAAAGTAATATTATATCCTTTTTCTGTTGTAAGCAACTTACAATGAAGGTTAAACTTGCTGCTGTGCTAGCGACAGATAAGCCCTTCCGTGTTAACTGTAGTGGTCCTAGCTTCATGATTAAATATGAATACCCACTTAACGATTTAGGAAGATCAGGCAACCCCGTTAGCGAAGATGATGGGGTTCTTGACTGAACAAGTTGTGGTACACCATCAGTACCAAGCCCTGACAGAATGAATAAAATTCCACAAAGGAGTGACACCCTTCCCAATTGATCCTACAAGAATTGCTGAGATCAGTATGCTAGTATTACAATATAATATTATTTAAATCAGTAAATTGTACAACATGCAACAATCACAGACAGAATGTTTCCTTAGTACAATGCAAGTTAAACTTCAAACGCGACGTGAAAAGTCGGAACACAGCTTAAGGCACACAAACCAACCAAGCAACAGAGGAAGCAACCAAAAGCCATTATGGTGTAAAGTGTCTTCAAAGTTTAAAAACAGCATAATTTTGCACTCATATATACTATATAGACAGGAGGTGAACAGAACCTTTGACAAGTCATTATAAACTATACCAACTTGCACAAAGTACCTACCTCCAGTAACAAAAAAAAAAAAAAAACCAAACACATTTGGCACAAGTTAACAGAAGTTTAATCTCCAGCAACAAACTCTGTTCATCAGAAAAATACAATTTCTCATTTTACCCTCTATGTTTTAAAATCCAAACTTGATCAAGATCATTAAGCAAAAAGTTCAAAGAAATATACATGAAAGTTTCATTCAGAAACTGAATAATTTATCCAAATATACTGAGCTCTAGCAGTTAACATTAAAACCTTACCACCCACACAGGTTTTGGGAGAAACAATACTGACAAAAGAGCGATGAATGCTACCAATCCAAAACGAACAACTATTTGGGCACGTGCTGGTAAAACAACTAACGCCAACAGCCATACCTGCATAATCAAGATCAGTATCTAAGTTAGTCTCTGTATTTTTCCAATGGCATAAACAATTAAGGCATAAGGCATTGAGAGAGAAAGGAAACCTGAAGACAACTCACAATACTATAACATTCAGCTAAATAATTAGGCAACTTCCAAGCTTAGAATGTGTCATAACTTCAGCTGGACATTTTCACCAAATTGCAATGAAGAAAATTCATTAAAAAAAATCCACACAAAAAAATTATTCATAGCACTCAATAATGATATTAATCTAATCAACCCAAAAACAACTTAACCCATAAAAACAAGCCCCCCACAGAAGAAATCAAAAGTACCAAGTAGCCAACTATCCAAGAACCAAACTTGACAAATTTCATCACATTTTACAATCTTAAAAGATTGAAAATTTAAAGTCTTTACCAATTTGATTCTAGGGTCCACTGAATGCAAGAAAGTGGTTGGTGAAGAAATGAACTGGCAAATTGGACTTGAAGTAGCAGTTGAAATCAATCTTAAAATTTTATCAGCTGCTAAACCTCCAGTGGGCAACCAGCTCATCCATTTCCCCATTTCACCATTGTTACTTCCGATTGAAGCTTTAACTTGAAAATTCTCTGAAACAGGGTTAAAATTGGGGGATTTACGCCAATATGATAGTAACGGTTTACGAATTGGATGGTTCGAAGGGAAATTCAGAACCCGGGTAGATGTTGGGTAGGCTAGGGTTTTGAAATTAGGGTTCAATAAGAAAAGGAAAGGGGGTTTAACAGTTGGAAATGGACAGTGAGTGCAGTTCATTGGAGGAATTGATGGGGAAGAAGAGAGTTGGAAGGGCTTATTTGTTGTTCTTTGTTAAGATTGTGAAGGATTGGCGGGTTATTGGGTAATGTAAACGGGTTTTAGATCCTTATCAACAATGCCCAATCCCACCATTGTTATAGCTCAAGCTTCCATCTATAACGACACTGGATATGCTGTCACTTTACATGCCCGGCAGTGGTTCGTCGGATCAAATCGGGTCATAGTTGGGTTTGATTTAAGGTTTATTAAAAAATAAGTGTCTAAATTACTCCGTTTTTCTCAAACTGGTGCATAAACTTTTTTCCGATCCATTCAGGTATTTAATGTTACAAACGTTATCACTTTAAGTATAATTTTTTTTGATCCATCCAAGTGCCTAACGTTTACAACTTTAAGTGTTTTGACCGTTAAATTCTATTGTTAAAGGACACATGTCACCTTTTTAAAACTTTTAAAAAATTAAATTGAAAAAAAAAACCTTAAAATTATAATTTTTAAAAGAAAAAAACCAAAAAAATTTAAAATTACAAAAAACTCTAAACCTTTAAAACTCTAATTTTAATCACATTTTCATTGTCGACCGTCATCACCGCCTTCAATCAGCCGATCACTCAACAACGTGTGATCAGCCAACCACCCATGACCAAAATCCCCTTGTTTCCGCAATCGGTTGAGCACCTAACAACGATGTAGGTGCAACATTTCACTGACGTTGATTTCCACCTCCATCACTGATTTTCGCTACAATTAAAGGTTGAGTAGGGGTTTTCAGCCGTTGTGTGTTCTTCGACCATACATTGTTAGAATTTCGACTAATTGACGATGATGGTAACGGTTGAGAGTGGCAAAGGGATTGAAATTAGGGTTTTTAAGTTTTTTTGTAATTTAAGAAAATTTTAGAGTTTTTTAAATTATATTTTTTGTTCTTTGTTTTAAATAAAAATTCTTAAAATTATCAAAACATGACATGTATCACTTAACGGAGAAATTTAATAGTTGTTACGGCCTGAGCACCTAAAATGATAACGTTTGTAACATTAGACACCTAGATGGAGCAAAAAAAATTGAAGTACCTATTTGAGAAAAGTTGTATAGTTTGAGCACTTATTTTCTAACTAAGCTTAAACATCTTACTAATATTAATTAGAGTGGTTTAAACATCTTATACGTCCCCAAATTATGTCTTCATTCTGAATTAGCCCTTAAACTTTTAAACATTCTAATTTCATCTCCAAATTATGACCCTCATTCTAAATTAGCCCCGAACTTTTAAATCTTCCAATTCCATCCTCAAATCCTTCCAATTATGTAATTAATTTAAACCATGAATTTTTTTTCAAACATATAATAATATAGTTTGACCTAAAGTTTTATTAGCAAGAGGTGTGATTTGCATATACCGATAGCTTGAGATAAAATTAAAATGTTAAAAAGCTTAGGACCAATTTAGAATGATGATCATAGATTAAAGATGAAATTAAAATATTTAAAAATTTAATAACTAATTTAAGATGAGACTCATAGTTTAACGATGAGAATAAAACATTAAAAAATAAAACCTAATTTAAAATGAAAAATATAATTTAAATACGTATAATATAATTAACTCTTAAAATTAATCTAATTCCAACCCATGTTTATATAAAAGTTCTATTCATATTTGGTCCAATATAGTATTTTTGGTATAAACATTAATATCTAACTTATTGATCGACTAATCTGTATTGAATACTGCAGAGACGATAACGACTCTCCCAACTTAATTTGTTCTATTAAAGAATATTTACAATGTTATCCAATAATAAATAAGTTTCTATTTAAAATAAAACTCATACACATTCATACAAAAGGCAATTGACATAAGCTTTGACGACCAGAAAGTGGATTTAAAGTTTAAACTGTTCCGGCAGCAAGCGTGGTCGGAGCAAAATCTCCGGCGCCGGCATGGATAGCACCAGTGCAAAACAACTGCGTTGCGCTCGCAATTATGGTCATCACCTCCAATGTCCGCTGCATTATCATCAATTGCAACCATTTCAAATCTTGTTTTATATTTATTAATTTCACCATTAAATTTAAATAATATATATTTCGATTTAATTGAAACAGAACTTACTTTTATCACCATTTTAATAATTAAAAGACTTACCAAATTGGCATCTGTCCACCCAATGTAGATCTCTTTACATGCCAACCTGCAAAATTCATTGGGTTAAGAATATTTTTTTTGAATTAATCACTGTTATCCGATCTATTAACCGACTAATCCAGATCGGGTATTACAGAGGCCAGGGCGATTCTCCTAACCCAGTTTGCTCCATTCGCAAATTTCAGAATTCGAACCCCTGACCTTGCTTAAGAGACCATTGGGTTAAGAATATTTGATATGCTATGCATCCACATAGTATTTTTTAGGAAAGTAATAGCCCACGATAAGTGATATCAGAATGAATTTTGATTATTTGATTTTAATTCGAATTTTTTAGTGAATAAAGTAGATAAGGTGAATAATCGTGAAGAGTGCATAACGAAATAGAATAAGAGAATATCACGTCCTAAAGGAGCGTAGATATCATATTCTCTTAAATATATTTTTTGAAAAGAGATTATTAGTCTTGTAAGAATAGATAGACCATAAGTAAACATTAATCGAAAAATATTAAGCATACCAAAATTTTATCTCAGATAAAACTTAGATTAATTAATATCAGTATCGATAAACACGACCGATGATCGAAAATCTTAAAGAAGTAAAACTTACCCCATGGCAAGCATAGTGAGGGCCCAAGTGAGAAGGGAAGAAGAAGCAGCGGCACATAAATTAGGGCCATTCCATTGAAGAACGTTGGTGACACCGGAGACGGAGGTGGCAACGCCAACAACACCGGCAATGAGGGAGAATATCACAAACAGACCCGTCGCCATGTTTCCCATTGGAAAGTATATGGGGAATATCCGAGCCGGGATTGATAACACAGATGCTGCATATAAAACGCAAACACAATACATGTACATATACATGTATAGGTGCATGGATTTGAAACAAAATCAAGAGTTGAAAGAAATACCTGTTTCATGAGTAGTTTCAATTGCATGATTTACAGCCCAACCAGCTATTATTGTTAGAGTGATGTATAACCCAAGATTGAGAACCAACAGCATTAATGCAGTTGATTTTGATCCTCCAGAACCCATACTTTTAACTATATCAACCTTTAATCAATCGAGACAGGGAACACTATATATATAGTGCCTTGTATTCATGTACCTTTATTTAGGTTACCTAAAGGATGGAAAAGGAATCCTTAACGAAAAATCATGAGTTTAATTAAGGGTAAACTACAAGTTTAGTCCCACAACTATAAACTTTTGTTCCATTTTGATCACACAACTATTTTTTTTCCCCAAAATCATATCTAACGTTACGTTTTGGTTTCATTTTGATCAATCACCGTTGAAAAATTAACAAAACTGATGATGTGGCATTTTTTAATTTATTTTCAATGATGATGTAACATTGTCTTACAGTGGCACGTCAACATCACCAGTTAATTTTTTAACGGTGGGTGACCAAAATAAAATCAAAACTAAATTTTATGTGTGTGTGTTTTTTAAAATAGTTAGATGACCGAAACATAATAAAAGCGATAGTTGAATATATAGAATGTTCAAAATTCGTATTTTATTATGTTTGATTTGTATGTTATGTATATTAATGCTGAGGTGCATAACTTTGGAAGGAATAAACTTTTCTTGCTTAACATTGCAAAGAAAGAATAAAGTTGGAATGACAAGAATAAAATAGGGTAAACTACACGAGTGACTATTCAATTATTGCCTCTTTTCATTTTGACCATTAATATTTTGATTACATCAATCAAATCACCTAACTATTTAAATACTTCAATCAAACCATTAACCTTTAACATTTAATGGATATGGTGCCGTAATAATTAAAAACTGACATAATTATATGTTTGGCTCTTAATATTTAAATAATTTATCAATTTAGTCTTCGTTTAAATTCAATTAAATAAATTTAATATTCAATTAGATAGGACAAGGCACACATAAATCACTGGACAAAACTAGGGCTGTAAATGAGACGAGACAGATCGCGAGCTACTCGAGATCGACTTGATCAAGGCTCGATAAATACTCGGATCGAATGGACTCGACTCGAGTTCGAGCTCGACTCGAGTTCTTAACAAGCCGAAAACGAGCTACTCGATATTCGACTCGAAAAGCTCGAGAACAACTCGAAAATATAATATATTAAGATTTTATTTTTAAAAAAAATAAAATTATTAATAATATTAATATGTATGTATTGATTTTTTTTAAAAATACAGTAAGATTTTCATGTATTTAAGGTTCATGTTCGAGTTTGAGTTTGAGGCTTCAATCGAGTTAAGTTTAAGATTTTTTTTCCTTTTCGAGCTACTCACGAGCTTCAGTTTAGAATTTCGAATTCGAGTCGAGCTTGAAAATTTTAAGCTCACGAGTTTTCGGGTCGAGTCGAGCTCCATTTCAGAGTTTTCGAGTCGAGTCGAGCTCTCCATACTCGAGTTCGACTCGTCTCATTTACACCCCTAGACAAAACTACTTAATTTTTTTATTAATCTGGGATAAGTACAAGGCAATATTTGTTTAAAAACAACTCTCAACTATTTAACATTGAACGTTAATACCCTGATATTTCTGATACTCAAATCCAGAATCTCAAGGAATAACACCAATTTCTTTACCATTGAAATCACTTGTTCGTGCGAAAAAACTACCTAATTAATAATGAATTAAAATAATTTATATATAACCTATTGTTACTAATGGCATAAAAGAAAAGATAATGCGTCCATGGAGCATGGTTTTCAGAACCGGACCGGTTAGCGAACCGGCCATGCTATCGGTTCACTGGTTCAACCGGTCGAACCGGACGACGTCATAATTATTTAAAAATTAAATAAAAATACCAAAAATATTTAATAAAAAATAATTTTTTATATCACAAGTCATATTCAAAGCAAGTCATAACATATATAAATTAAAAACCATAAAATCAAGTGAAACAAAATGATTCAAATTAACTACAACATAATATTTAAGGTAAAACATATTAAATAATAAATATAATTATATAACTATAATTAAAAAATAAATTTGGGGCTAAAAAATCATAACAAAATGATATTGTTTGGTTTAATTTTTTTTAAAAAAACAATCCCACATGGCTAAGAAACATAGAAGAGCATCCCAAAAGTCTAAAGAGTAAAAATATGAGAACAAAACAATCCCACATTGCTAAGAAACATAGAAGAACATCACAACTAACTTCTATAAATAATAGAGGTAATTTGACATTGCGATAGTCCAAGTTCGCATTGCGATAGTCGAAGTTCGCGTTGCGAATCTGGAAACTGATTTGCGATACTTGAGATCGCGTTGCGAATTATCGATCGCATTGCGATTTAGTTGGTCATTTTGGCAAATCCAAAAAAAGTTGGTTAAAATCGTATATTATAAGGCATTTTTGGTCAATGAGGTTATTTTCTCTATTAAAAATTATACCTTTTTAGTACATCCACCGGTCTCTAATTTATTGATCGATTAATTCGGATCAGGTACTGCAGAGGCAAGAACAACCTATTGAGTTAATCGATCGACGAAATAGCCAAGAGGGGGTGAATTGGCAATAAAAATTTTAGTAGAAGCTTTTGCAGAAAATAGAAAATAATTGCACAGCGATTTAGAGTGGTTCGACTTTCTCAATCAAAGTCTACGTCCACTACATTAGCTATCCACACTAAGGATTTTCCACAAATTCACTAATTTGTCTTTCTTTTGAGGACAAAGAGTAATATTACAAATCCCTCAAGAATTATACCCCAAAATCTTGAGAACACTCACTCCCAAAGAGAACAAACAAATTTCGCAAACTTACAGAAAAACCTCACAAGGCAAGATGTTTGTACAATTCTAAAACAAAAAAAGAACACTCAAGAATAATACAATTGAGCACAATAAGTGTTCTTGAAAGCAAAGATGAATATTGAATGAAATAGGCTTGAAAATGCTCAAACTTGGGGTTTGATGCTTTCTCTTTGATTCTATCTCAATTCTTATTAATTGTTGTTGATCAATGGCTCCTAAGCTTGTTTAAAACACATTGGATCACTTTTGAACGTTGGGGATCATTGGTGAAGTCAATAGAGCCGTTATTGTGTAATTATCATTTAAAAATTTGGTGGGAGCGTGGGGTGCATCGATGCATAGACAAGGTGCATCGGTACACTATGTATAAAATTCAAATATTTCGACCGTTATAAGTCTTAGTGCATCGGTACACTAGGGGTGCATCAGTTTACTAATTGCATTCGATGTTTCAAACAAGCCAGGAGTGCATCTATGCATAGTTTGTGCATCGGTACACAAAATGTATTCGATGTTTCAAAATATTCAAGAGTGCATCGATGCATGGCTTGTGCATCGATTCATGGCTTGTGCATCGGTACACAAAATGCATTCGAAATGGGAAGTGCATTGATGCATCATGTAGTGCATCGGTACGTCACTTTGTAAATTTGATTTTTGGCTCGATTTTGGTTCGAAATATTTTGTGAAAATTGTTTTAAAAATATTTTAAGTATAAAACATAATTTTACACTTTAGTAAGGATTGAGATTGACCTTTGAAATCCTTGGAGTAATTTTTGTAATATTCGAATAATTAAATCGAATATACCTTGAAAATGATTATAAAATCTTAAAATCCAATAATACTTAATTTGTTATATCGAAACATCAAAATGTTTTCAACACAACCCTTCTAATGCAGTTTATTCAAACATCTGACATTGCTTAAGGAATATGATGTTTCATTCCATTGGACCAACTGGTTATTAGTAAAAATTAAAAGTTATATAAAAGTTAAATAAATTAGGGTAAAAATATGATGTTTGTGCCTATAAAGTTTAGATAAAATATAATATATAATTTAAATTGAGATAATATTATAACAATACCAAAAATTATATTTATCCTAAAAATAAAAAATATTTTCAAGTTAAAAGCACCGTTTCAGTCGACCCAAGGCGAGGGATCGTCATTGGATTTTCTTGGCGGAATTTCTCCCATTTCCATATTTTCTTCCTTCGAACTATTTCCTCTGAATTGGCAGGGGATTCACATCTTTACAGGTAAAATTATTTTGATTCTTTTCAATAAATAATTAAAATACCTTTATACCCAATGCAATTAATATTATTGTTTTAGAACTGGGAGCAGCTCTTGAAAGTTGATATGGATTTTGATTTATTTTTTATGTTAATTTATAATTTTACGGGGCTCTGATGATGATTTGGTTTCTTGAATTACCTATCTCGCTGTTTTCGCAGAAATCGTTTTATTTTTTATTTTTCATGTAATATAATCTACTTTTGACGATGTTTTTTCATATAATTTCCCCCCATTTTATAGATTTCTCTACTTATAAATATGAAAAAGAAATATTAATTTGGGTTTCTGAAACATTTCTGGATTTGGTTAATTAATTTCTTGCACAAAATCATTTATTGATTTTGATTCAGAAGGTTTTTGAAATTGTAATTCCATTGTTATTGAAATCTTACTAGGATGCCTATTTCTAGTTAGGGTTATTGGGGCATGCAATTTATGGTTGTTTTATGCTTGTTTTTTAAGGAGAGAGATATAAAGGAGATTTTATCTATTTTTCTCGCAATGAGTCACGTTGAAGATTCTATGCGAAATCAAATAGCAGCTCTTTTGCGAGTTATAAATTTCACAAAAGCTTTCAAAGAAGACACCGTACCAAGCGTAATTGAAGAGGTAATAGACATGGCTTCCTTGTCTTCTTTTTTATTTTGTTTATACCCTTGATCGTTTTCTGAAGATTTGTGTTTATTTTTTGCTTTCAATTTTTCAGGGTCTCTTTTTGGGTTCTATCGCAGCTGCTAATAATGTGGATGCACTTAAACGTTTAAATATAACTCATATCTTAACTGTGGCTAGCTCCCTGCAGCCTGCGAATACTGATGACTTTGTGTACAAAGTTATACCAGGTGGGAATGTTCTCCCTTATCAGGTTGTATGACTGAACTAATATATCGTAAAACTGGAAATTTTCATGCTCCGAATTCCTTGGCATTGTAACTTCATTTGCCTGTTGTTATCTAAAAGGTGTGCATTTGTTCAGTGTGCTTGACGATACCCAAGTGAAAATAAAATTATCTTCTAATGCATACTTTAACTTTGCCAGAATTTTGTTTAAAAACGAGTGATGTAGGATAAGCAAGCAGAAGAGAAACTATAGAAACCGGGTGGGGAAATCGGAAATTGAATGAAAATAGTGAGTGAGGGGTTGGAGGAAATTTGGGGAGAACAAAAGAAATATTGAGAACATTAGAAAGGAATCAACAGAGGGAGAAAATATTCAACATCCAAGACCCCTATAAGTTACAAAATGCCAAATGTAAGCCCAAAATCCTCTTACTTGGAAAAGAAGTAAGATGATAGTTAATATATGATTATATGTAAAAGTAATATCCATTGATGAGTTTCCAACTAAGTCGAAGATTGTTCTCACTGGTCAAAAAAGGAAAACTAAGATTGTGACAAGTTATCCTTGAGTTACAATTGAATGTTAATCACCGCATATTTAGCTGTCTGCTCTCTGTGCTCCATCATCCTGATAGTTCCCTTTGTGTTTTATTAATTTCTACCAGATTTGTTCCTCTTGTTATATAATGATTTTTTATAGTTTTTTGTGTGCTTCGTCTGCCGCTTTATAATTTCTTCCTTCCATAGAACAAGTGTTGGTGCTTCAATCTGATGTGTATCCTGCATCTATGGTTTCTTATGCTTTTTTTTTTGTAACTATAACCCTACTGAGCATCCAAATGTGGCTTTCAGTAACAACTCTTATAATCTTTTCCCCCCATCTTTGAGACAGTCTTAGACAAAGAAGACACAGACATAAGTCAGTATTTTGATGAATGCTTCAATTTCATTGATGAAGCAAGAAGACAAGGCGGTGGTGTATTGGTTCACTGCTTTGTTGGAAAATCAAGAAGGTAATGTCACTACTGATCTTGTGTTCTTTCTGACTTGACTGGTTCCTACAGATATTTATGCGTTTTGTTGACTTGCATTCAATATCCACATTTCTGTATTGTGTTGCCAACTTGGCATACTTATATCCACTGTTTTTAAGGCATGCATTTTAGCACCAGAAAACTAAAAAATGCCTCAAACCCTTTTTGTGAGTCATATTCGACCAGGCACGTGCATGATGTGTCTAAGTGTGCTTTTTTGTGAGGCGTCAGCCCAGGTTTACATGCCTTCAGATCTCTGCTTTAAATCATTAATAAAGGATTTAATTGCACTTGAATGTAATCTCTATAAAGAAGCAATGTACTGATTAACCTTTTTAAGTATGGTTACTTTGCTCATGTTGTTGATGCTGTAGTGGCGAATTGAGAAGCACTGTAACAATTACATTTGGAAATAGAGTTAAACATCCAGGGGTTGGTATAATTTGCTCCAGTTAGCAGCCCTATTATCAAAAGTACATTTTGCATATAGCGCCTATTCACTTTACAAGGATCAACAATTTGTAACATAATTCTCTTCTCTGTTTTGCAACGCTTAAATAACACATTTTTTTGGTCCTTTGAATTGCTAGATGCATAACATGAAGATTTCTTTTCTCACATAAGTCATTTTGTGTACTGAAATTGTTGTCATGCAGTGTGACCGTTGTTCTTGCTTATTTAATGAAAAAGCATGGTATGAGCTTATCAGAGGCCTTGGAACATGTGAGGAGCAAACGACCCTTGGCAGCTCCTAATCCTGGTTTCATCCAGCAATTGAAAGAGTTCGAAAAATCTCTACAAGGTGCGTCTTAATATCATTTTTATAGATAAATACAGGCACATTTATATTAACCCCCTCACGCATTCCGACAAGGCCATGTATAGCATGCCTTAATGTAGATGGTTCGTACAACTATATAGTGGGGGTTAGGATCCATTTGCACCTATTGTAAAACTAAAAGTTTTACAGCTTTTTAGGATTGTTGGATAAGTGAAAACAGATTGCTGAGATTATCATGTTTCTTTTCATGTGAATGTCTTCTCATTTCTTATTGTTAATCTCAATCGTCTATTTTCAATCATCTAACGATCCTAAAAAAGTGTAAAACGTTTTGAACGAATCCTGCCTCATATATATATATACATATATGCTAATCACTATGACCTTTTAAATGGGATCTTTAAAGGCCGATAATGTAGCTAGTTGACTTAAGAAATCTCCATGCCATTACTTCTTGGAGCTGCAATGGCAATGTCTAGGGGTGCTTATCAATCTAGTCAATCGCGTTAAAAAAACCTTGTTGCTCGTTAAGATCATCAAAATTTTTACCTTATTTTCTTAACTATAGTTAAAATCTACTAATATTATATAGAGCTTAATATAATAAACATAAATTAATAAATTTAACTAAAAAATTATCAAAAGAGTGTATGAAGCAATTTCAAAGTCTAAACTCCAAAGTAACAATCTAAGAATATATTAAAATAATAAATAGGTTCTGATTTTGGGTGTAGTAAAATATTAATTGATAATTTAGTATTTTTTATTAGAAAATTAATAGATTAACAATTTATCATCTTTTTTATTATCTCATAGTAAATTAGTAATTTTTTGAATGAAATAGTTTTTAAAGATAACTTCTAAAAATTATATATAAAAAATTAATGAGCTACTTGCAAACTTATCGAGTCGAGTTGGATTTTTGTTTTACTCAACTCGTTAAGGTTTTGAGTCAAGCTCGAGTTCGAGTTGAGCCAATCTAATCGAGTTTTGACCAAGTCGAATTGGAGTTGCTGACGAATTACTCAACTCATTAAGCACCTCTAACATTGCTAATATCAGCAGTTGAAATGCCACCATGTTGTTTCCCCAGCACATGATTGTTTTTGCATAGACTGATCGATTTCCTCTGCACAGCCAACAAAGAACAAATGAAAGCTAACGAATGAAGAAAAGCTGCTTTCGCCTTGTAGAGAATCACTCAGTTGGGCAAAGGTATTGATATGATGAAACATACTATATAGATTGGATATGTCTGCTGCTCCCATTGGCATCAAGGAAGAGTCTCCTTTCCATCCCTTTTTTGTTTCTTTTTCTTTTCCAAGTTGGAAAGGGGTCTCGTTGGTGGTGCTTTGTTGGGAAACTCATTTGGGTTTGAATTTCCTTTACTATATAAAATTATGAAAATAAATTGCAGATGTGTCACTCAAAATGATTATATATATAAACATGGGTTTTGAAATTTAATAATTTTTGATAATTTTTTATCGGTTTTATTAAAAAAATAATAATAAAACAGGTAGTATCATTTTTTAACCATATATTAAAGTTGTTGCACGTGATCATTTCCCAAATGTCAGTGTCCTAAAAGCACGAGCACTGAGCTATCATAACACCTCATATGACTCGATGGACGAAAGATTGTCATATGGACGAAAGATTTTAAGTTGAGGATGAACTTATAATATTTTAAGAAAATATGATCTTATAAAATTTTAAAAAATAAAAATAGACAATCAATATAATATATAAAAGATAATCTAATATGTATAAATTAAATATAAATGATAAAAGATAATTTAATATATATAATAACTTGAAAATTTTGGAACCGATCCTAATCACCATTAAAAGAGAACACCACTTCTCAAATTCCTTTGAAAATCATAAAAATTTCAATATAATTAAAGATTTATCTATTGCCTACTTGCAAGTTTTGGGTGATAATATGTTACAATTATAAATAAAAAAAGACAATCAAATTTTAATAATTAAAATGTGAAATATTGAAATATAAAACTGATGTGAAGCGTGAACCACATATATATATATATATATATATATATATATATATATATTTAAAGACCTTATAATATTATTCGCCTAATAACAAAATTCTGTTTTTTGGGCCTCAAAAATTTTTATTAAATTAAATCAATTAATGAGAAAAATAATAAAACCATCTATTTTGTCTCCTTTTTTGCCAAAATTTTAAAATATTTTTATACTTTTTAGCCATTTAAAAATATATTTATTTATATTTTTAATTTTTAATTTTTAATTTTTAATTTTTATTATTTTAAAATATTAATAATTAAATAACATTATACTATTGTTTTTAAATTTTTTAGTTTTTTTTCTTTAAGCAAAATAGTTTTTGACGTGAATATTGACACAAAGATAGAACTAGCAAATTTGACTTGAACCCGATTATCAGAATTGATTTATTCGATCCAATATCCTATATTAACTCAAATATGATTATTAAATTTAATCCGAAACTCGAATAATATATGACCCGAATCATACCCGATCTAAAATTTAGCTGACCCAATATAGACTCATGTCCAATTTGACCCAAATTGAAAATAATCCGAACTAAAATTAACCTGAACAGAAACAACTCGAACTGAATTTAACACGAACGGAAAAACAACCCAAACTGAATTTAACCCAATCCAAAATTAATTCAAATAGAAAGCACGCTGAATCAAAAATCTATATACATTTGATTAGACTTATAATCAAATTAAGCCTATATAATAATATTAACAAACAAGAATTTAACAATATATCAATAATTATATATATATATATATATATATATACTGATTATGAGTATATATATATATATATATATATATACTTGATTAGATTCATAATCAATTCAATCCGAATTAATTTGATGCAAAAGTTGACCCAAATAAAAAATAAATCGATCCAGTATTAACCCAAACCGAAATCTAATCAATCCAATATTAACCCGGCCCAAAAATAACCGATTCAATCTTGATCCGAACCGAAAAACAATCGATCCGATAGTCTCCCGACCCAAAAATTAACTCACCCGAAAATTGACCCGACCCAACCCAATTTACCATACACCCGAACTAAATCCGCACAAGACCCGGTCCAACCATAATAAATTAAACAAAATATAATTTAGACCTGAAATCTCAAACCCAATCCAAATGACCCGTTTACCACCTCTGCACAAAGATAAAAGAGTTGATTCAGCTTAATAAGTTTATTATTTTTTCCATATGTTGGTTAAATTAGAGGGCTAAAAAGGCAAAAACAATTAGAACTAAAATAATCTTTTTTAAAATTGAAAGGCCAAAAATGTCACTAGGCCATATATTCAAATACCAAAATGAACTAAACTACCAAGTTCAAGACCCAAAGCTAAATTATCCCTCTCAACTCTTTGGATTTTCCAAACTCAGAATAATTGTCCATAATAATAATAGAAGAAGAAACGCATTGGCATGTGATGAATCAAATGATCATTGCATGAACTGATTAAGAACTGAATGCCACCTCCACTAAATACAAAATAAACCCGTCTCCTCTCTCCATCTTCACACCATAGATTCATAGCTTCTCTGCTGGTAACTGGTAAGCACTCCTCTCTCTTCGTTCCCATTTCAGGATTTCATAGCTTTTATGTTTCAATATCTTTGTTCTCATATAAAACAGTCATTGGGGACTTTTCTCGAACATATATTGTTGATTGTTTCTACTTTCTACAATTTTGTGTAAATACATAGTTTTATTATGTGTTGTTGTTCAAGAGGAAAAGGAATGGATCAGATCCATTATTCGCTCCAAAAAGACATTCAGGAGAGTTGCAGGGTAGATGTACATAGATATTTTCATGGAAACAATGCTCTATGCCAAATTGAAGAGGTACCCATTTAGATGATATTGCTTTGCATTATCATGATTTTGTTTGTTTTTTCTGGGTTAATTTCATACCTAAGTTTTTTAGGGACTTTTCCTGGGTTCCTTGGGTGATGCAAGCAACAAGAGTGCACTCAAAAGTTCCAACGTTACACATATCTTAACCGTGGCTAACCTATCCGTTCCTTCGTATCCGAACGAGTTCGTTTATAAGATTATCGAAGGTATTACGGATTCGTGTTTTCAAGCATTTAGATTCATGGCATTAAAAATATGAAGAGTTGCAGAATTCACTGCAATGGACGTTCTTAACTTACCAAATTCTTGGTACTTTTTGATGAAATTTTGAGGCAGTCACGGACAGGGAAGATACAAATCTAATGCGGTACTTCGACGAGTGTTTCGGTTTCATCGACGAAGCTAGAAGACTAGGTAGTGGTGTGCTGGTTCACTGCTTTATGGGAATATCTAGAAGGTGTGTTGTTCCCCTTATCATATGACCCTATTCTTATACAATTGTGTCTTTAGTAACAATGATCCTAAATCGGAATTTGCTGGGAGTACGTATAGTTCGATGTGGTATTCGGTAATCGTTGTTCTATTATGCTATCGGCTCTTCGATTTTGCAGTTCTTAAATTATATATTAGTTTTGCTGCTATTTGTACTTGTATCTTGTAGCTTAAGAATGCGTAATCACGTTTCATTACTAAGTAGATCATGTTCAGTGCTTTTGTTTCTCAATGTGTGCAGTGCGACGGTGGTGATTGCTTTTCTAATGAAAAAGAATGGCATGAGGTTTTCTCAAGCTTTGGAACACGTAAAGCGTAGACGGCCTCAAGTGTCTCCGAATCCAGGTTGCGTTTTACAGCTGCAACACTTTGAAAGTACCCTTCGAGGTCGATCCTTTTTTGGCCACTTTCATCGACACTCGAAGTGTATGATTTGCAGTTTTTGACTCGGTTGTTGATTCTCGGTGAATATCACTATAACTTGGGTTGAACTTCCGTCTGTGTGACTGTTTCTTGTAATGCAGGTAAGGAGGATGAAAAAACTCGGCTCGATCGGTCCACTTGTCAGTCCATTTTCTCGTTTTTCAACCAAAAGCAATGAGAAGGGGAAGGCAATGAATGAAGTAGTATATTGTGCGAGTAAAATGTAATCAAAATGTTCTTGCAAAATGAACATGATCCCAAGTGTATCATTGACTCTTGATAAGATTATTGACAAATTCAAAAGATTTGTCGAAGTTAAATCTAACAATCATGATATTAGATCTGAAAAAGATATTTTCCTTCAAACCTCTCAACTCAGATTTTATCGACTAATCGTCCGACCACCGACTAATTTTTTATCCAAATTAGAAATAATAACCTATTACAATTGTCACAAACCCCTTATTATATCAACATGTAATCTATATGGATTGGTAGATCATAACAAACCATTTACGTTTATAATAAATCATAGTAAAATTAGGGATGACATTGAAGTAAAATCATGGATGAAATTAAGATAAACTATAATTTAATTCCATAATCCTAATATCTTAGATGCTACTACACTAATTTTTTATCTAATTTTTTATTAAGATGATGTAGTTACAAAATAATATATGTTCTAAATACTCTTAACCATTTGACAATGAACGTTCAATCACCCATGAACGCTTAATCACTCGTGTTGCCGTCGCTAGTGAAAATTTTAAAAATCATTAAAATTAAATATAATATTATATTTTGCTAACAAGAAGTGTCGTATAGTTAACTATAGTAAAAAAAGTTGCACACTATGGATGCATCAAATGTAAATAGTTCTAATGTAAATGTTAATAAGTTCAATTTTGCTTATAGTATAATAAAGCCAACTTATTACCGTAATAATGAAGATTTTATCTTACAAAAATGGCATAAACAACGACCTGCCAATAGCCAAAACATTATGAATTTGTACTTAAAAGGACAGCATAAAAGGGAGATTACAGTGCTGATTTCATAAAGGCAAAACTAGAATGAATAAAATGAGTAGTACCTAAGGTTCACCCATGCCAAACGACGGACAAATATGCACCTAAATTCCACTTCCATTCAACAGCTCAGATTGGGATTCAAATATACCTTTCGAACTCCATCTGAGTAAAGAGTTCAATGAAACGAGCAAAGTGAACGTTGCAGCTGCCGATTTCGAGCTCGTTTAGTGCTTGTTTTCTTGCTTGCACTACTTTATAACAAACAAACATGGACGTGAACCTAATGCGTCTTTGTTTATTGATTCGACTATTCAATCAGAGCTGGAATCATAAAAATCGCTCGGGTATGGGGTCATAACCTCAGGTTCGAGCAACTGCACCACCCGGTGCATGCTGGGTCTATCCTCTGGGGTTGAACAAACACACTGGACGGCGACTGAGAGCAAGGCATCAAGGATTTCTACCTGCATCCCCACACAATTTGGATCTACAATCTCTCGTTGCCTATTCTCCGTGATCAAGAAATTTAACTGCATAAAACGAACAAACCAGTCAAAATGAACAACCCCACACATATGTATTCTGAATTGAGGAAACCATCTACATATCTTTTTGAGTTTTGGGAAGGAGATTTCGATCCCAATTCTTTGAGTTGAAGGATAAATGCGTCTACTAGTGAACTAAATGTTCGAAAGCGTGTCTTTTGTATTTATTTATTGAAAGTGGAAATTGGTAAAAAGAGCAGGCATCAATTTTCAGCTTACTTCAGCATCAAAATGGTTTTTTACTGCAGCTGATAGATAATACTAGAGACATTAACATGTGGACCGAAGTTCTAACAAACAAGCCAAATTAGGTATTTATAATCATTCCCATCCCGAAAGATGAGAAGCTTTTTCCTCATTATACAAGAATACGTGTCAAATGTTGACAACAGATCTTGGTCTTGCAAATTTGTTGCATGTAAAATACATAGAAAGAAGAGTGGATTTTCACCCTTTGCTTCTATTTTCTCATCTCCTTTTTGTTCGTTTATTTTTCTTCCCAATCAAACTCGAACAACTGCCACAGGTCCACAGCCTGGACACACAGCAGCTATTACATCTTTGCATCCTTGTTCATAGGTTAATATTCCCATCCTTAGATCTATTGCTACAACCCTATTTTATGCGCTACAGCACACTTAACAAGGTTTCGATTCAGTTGACGAAGATAAGACGAGAAACTTTTCCTAATAAAGGAAGGGAAATGTTATAAAGTGTCTGTTGACAACGGTGAAAATAGTGCATTATGAAAAAAGACATTTCCTAAAATAGAACCCATTAAAAATAAGGCAAAATGCAAATGATTATGGTTTAGAAAATGCATGAGATATATCATGTTAAAATTCCATATGCCAACAATCAAATCTTCACCAACAACTACTCTTCATACACATAGGCTGTTCTGTTTTTTTTTCCAGAGATATATACCGCTATACTTCGAGACAAATCTTCTAACATCATACAGCATACCCTATACCTTTCTATTTACAGATGTCTTAACATTCTTCAGAAAAGAAAATGAATAACGAAAAAATGAACAGGAAACAGATATGCTTTTCTCTTTTCATTCCTCGGCTCCCCTAAAATTTATTTTTCCTTCTAAACAGCTTTATATACACAGCAAAATCTGAAGAGAAAAAGTGAGACTTACCCAGCCAACGATGTTGTGGCCCTTTTCAATGAATGATGCATCAGTAGGTCTCTTTCCACTTAAGACTTCAAGCAACAAGACTCCAAAACTATAGACATCCGTCTTTTCGGTTGCTCTCCCACTTACCATGTACTCTGTTGAAGGAAGCATAAACAGAGTATTTTGTTATTTATCTTTTGCAAAGCTTAAACAAGACCTAAATCACAGACTCAGGATAAATTGAATCTAGAAATAAAACAATACTACTAATGCTACTACTACTAATATTTTACTTATAAACAAACAAAAAACCACTTTTAAACGGGCTTTCAAAGACTTGTTAAACCTGCTTTAAAAGATTTATAAACGAGCTTGCTTTTGAACATAAATGAACTATACACACCTTGTTCAAGTTCAATTAGTTCAGTAAACAAACCTCAAAAGCTTATAAAATGTTCTAGCCTTTACAGACCCATTTAGCGGCTATATGTGATTTTCAAATTAAGTCAATATCATCAGAAAGAACCTCAAAATATGTTTGCGCTAAAGCTAAATTTATCTCCCTAATAATTCAAGCTTAAAGGTAGCCTCCACAATTGTAGACGGTAAGCCAATATTGCAACTGCATACCTGGAGCCAAATAACCAAAAGTTCCCGCAACAATGGTTGTAATATGAGACTTTTCATCCTCCAACAGTTTGGCAAGTCCAAAATCTGATACTCGAGCCTCCAAATTGCTATCAAGTAAAATGTTGCTGGACTTTATGTCACGGTGTATGATCCTAGGAGAACAATCATGGTGTAAATAGGCCATTCCTTTTGCTGCTCCCATAATAATGTTCAAGCGTGTTTCCCAGTCCAACTGCTCAGATCGTTCTGTTAAACGGATCACAAAACAACATCATCTCCGCAAATAAAGAAATTGATCCATGCAACAAATAAATAGGACTTCCAACCAATGGGCGAAAACAAAGAAAGAGAAATGTTTTAAGTTCAAGATTAGTCACTAAATCCATGAAAAATAAGTCTCACTTTTTTTAATCTTGTGGTTTAGATCAACAAAGGAAAATGTGCAGTTCATGTTTATGTCAGGAAATGTACTGCTTTTGTGTAAAAATGGTTAAGGGAGCCTCACCATGAAGAGCTTCATCGAGGCTACCACCAGCAAGGAAATCATAGATTAACAGCTTTGATGTGGGTGAATTACAGTATCCTCGCAAGTTTACAAGGTATCGATGTTTTATGCTTCCAAGAATTTCAAGCTCTCTTTCAAAAAAACGATCAAATCCCCCATTTAACTTCACAATTCGTTTCAAAGCGAACACATTTCCATCATCCATTGCAAGCTTGTACACTGTCCCAAACCCCCCAGTACCTATAATGTATTCCTCGTTCAAAGTTTCTAATTTCTTAATGATGTCTTTAGAAGAGTAAGGCAAGTCTCCATGAAACATAACAATCGATGCACCTGAAGCAACAATGCTATGTCAATAAAGATGTTCAAATGTTAGAATAAAAATGAAAACTAAAAACAGCTAAATTTTCTAAAATTGAAGATCAATTTGAAAGAACACCTCCGCTGATGTCCATGGCCAGAGTCCTTCCCTCATTTTTACCAAACTTCTTATATAGGAAGCAACCCCAGAAACACATAAGTGCCACTAAAAGTAGTGCACCTATAGTTGCTGATGCACTAATGAGAAGTTTTCCAGAGTATTTCCTTTTACCGCCTTGAGTTTGAGCTGCAAAAAAAAAAAAAAAAAGATTGAAAAACTAATCAAAATGACCTCCAAATTAAAACAATAGATTCAGGAATAAAGGTAAGAAACTTGTGAGGAATTCGGATTTGATGGACAAAATTCTTCATCTCCATATTTTTAACACTGAAAAGAGCACCAAACAATTGACTTCAGTGTTCCCAACATATACAGCGTACCAGAACCAGATCTGGAATTTGTTGTAGCTCCTCCGTTATCATCTTTGCATACTACATTGATTTGCTTTCCACATAAACCGCGATTCCCAACAAAACTGCCAAAAAGATGTTAAACTGTTTAGCCTAATAATATTACAGCAATCTTCTTGACTTTCCAGAAAATGAAGATTCTAAATTTGCAGAATAAAGGTATCACGTATAACACTTCCTGGAACTCTCCTGAATGACAGTTTTGCCAACATAGCATATAAATAATACACAAATTATTGAACACAGTAGCAAAATAACTTATACTTACGAACTTGCAGTATAGCTGCTGAAAACATCTTGCGATGGTATAGGGCCAACCAGAAAATTGTTGGACACATTGCTTTAGGAATCAATATGATCAACAAAGATCAGTTCATATTCAATAAATCTTAAAGTAAACTCAGTAAATACCCATTTTTAGAAGCTAACAAATTTGAAGCAAGCGAACTAACAATGCAATGAGCTTATCTAGGGTCCCAATTGAAGGAGGGATAGATCCACTAAGGGAGTTGCTTGAGATATCCCTGCAGTTTTGAAAAACACAGTAAGTACTGAAACTCTGCCCTGTACCACTCTAGCCCACATTTATTAGCAAAAAAAAAAAACAACTTACAGATACTGAAGTGCAGATAGGTTCTCCAATTCACTCGGTATTAATCCGCTTAAGTAATTACCCTGCAAGTATCTATAGAAGAGAACATATCACAGTGCAATAAAATACCAAGGCAGACAATTTCAAAACAAAATTTTCAATACTAAATCTAAAAAACCTTGAAAGCCATAACTGGTACTACATATTTACAACAAATTAGTTGAACACCAAAATGCCATTCTTTCATAAAATAAATACAAAGCTTTGAATATCAACTACAGTTGGGTAGTATTTAGGCAACACTAATCAAAAGCAACGGGAAAGGTTATTTCTGAGTCTTTTCCTTTTCCTCGTCCTATGAAGAACGACTAGATTTGAAAACTCCAAGGTGGATATAATATCAGGAAAAGGACCAACATAGGAGGTTGCTCCCCTAGCCAATCCGAGCCTCCTAAAACATATCACTTGGCCTGGTGATTGGCCAAGTCATACTACTCACCCAATGAAGTGTAAAGGACCAAGGTTCACTTCCCCCCTTGGCCTTCGCACAAATACAGTAAAATGATTGCTTGAAGATTAAAAATATCCTATGCATAGAGATATAAGAAAAATAGGACCAAACGAAGATCCATACAGAATTCTTAATCAAATAAAAGAAAAGGGTATTTGAGAGTCAAAGTACTGTTTTGCTTGCATCAACACCACAATCAGACGATGAATCACAAAGGGAATAAAAAATTCTATATTTCTTAAAACCGTAACCTTAATTCAATCATTTGTAAGAAAAATCTATAGAACAGACAAGATTTTTCAAGCACAAAGAAGCATAAGATCATGGAATCACATGTTGGCAACAATACTTACATTCCTTGCAGTTCTGTGCAATTACCAAGCTCTGAAGGAATTGTTCCATAAAAGTTATTGTTAAAAAGCATTCTGATTCACATAAAAATTATAGAAAATATCAGTTAAAAGAAATAATCTTTGAATAGATTTCACGGATAATGCATCAATGAGGATGCAAAATAGGGAAGTCCACAATACATACAAATATCTCAAGTGCTCCAGCTTCCCAAGGTCAGGTGATAAAGGACCGCTCAGTTTATGATTGGTAAGGCTCCTGAAGATAAAATATAAGGCAAACAGAAAACATTAAGCCGCACTGCCATTTAGACAAAGTCGTTAAAACGGAAGACAGATTTGGACATGATCTTCAAAACTCACAAAGTTGTCACTCTCTTGGTTTTACTATCACATTTCACCCCTTTCCATTTGCATGGATCAGGATCCTCTGGTCTCCAATGAGAAAATACACCATCCGAACTAAAAATTGCTATCTGAAAGCTTAGAAGTGCCTCACCTGCATATCAAGAAAAGAACATTCACATTTTATAAGCAGAAAGGCTCCTACTAACCCGGCTAGCTAGATATTCAAAAACCAGAAAAATGCTATTATTATCAGGCTCTAATTTAAATGCATTAACAAAAAAGGAAAGAAAAGAATCATAAAGATTAAAAGCAAACATGATCACCATAATTCTAAAAGGTGGAAACTTTCAATTTCCTATGTGAGACAAATTAACCAATATATTCCAACCAAATGTGATACATAAGGAAATCATTACGGATCCTTTTTAAAATGGGGAGAGGATAAGAAAATAAAAGGCTATAATTATCCAATATTACATATATATCACCTACCGTCAGGACTGATAGCTCTGCTTCTGTTTGTTAGGAAAACAAAGAATAGTATGTGAAGCAGCCATGGCCATTGACATTTCATCAAACATATGCCCATAATGGCACTGAACGAGCATAATATAGATGCTAAAAATCATCTGAGACACCAAACTCAAGAAACTGTCTTTGTTGTAACATGTGGTTATCTGATATATATTGCCATTTGGCAGCCGCAAAAGGAAGACAAAATATGCCTGTCAAGAAATAGAGAAGGAAGATAAGAATTAGAAACAATACAAAATCTGAAATTGAAATAATGATGTGTAGATTGATCTTCTTGAACGCAATTCAAATGGCTAACAAGACTCTTCTCGGTTGTGCATAAATACATAACTTGAAACTAACAAAAATCCCCCTCTAAAAGGGGAAAAACAATTATTATTATCTGTTTAAGAACAGAGAAACTCAAAGCACCCTCTCATAAAGCAAAGGAAAACATAGCGCACCAAAGCCTTACACATTAATACACATAAAATAATTCCTAAATCATGAATTCAGAAGTAAAAAAAATTTAATTCATGTAGAAACCCATTGCAGGTTTTGATATCTATGATGGATAGGCTAGTCTAAAAGATATGCTTACACTAGTGTTAAGTGTCCTATATTGTGTGGCATGAATCTTCACAATTGAAGTAGTCAGCACAATAAAGTAATTTTATTCAAAAAATACAACTCAGAAACAAGCAGCAGATACTTGGAAGAACAAGCAGAATTAGACTTTAGAGCGATTTTAAAGATAATTGAACCCATTTCATAAACAAAATTTTGATCACCAGAGGTTTTTGTTGCATTGCTTCTTTTCATCTAAAAATAATAGGAGCTAGAAGTTTCGTCCACAAGATATATTTTCAAATCTCCATCTAAAAATGTCGATCCTAATTGAAACACAACAGAAGCGGTTAATCTAAGAATCATCTTCTCCAACCTATGCCACACAGCTAAATTCAAATTCTCTGAAGTTGAAATTAAACTAACAGACTCAGAAATTTGATAAAGCTGAAAAAAATATAAAAGGAAAAGAAAACAATAACACCGATAAAGTGACAGAGATTCCGCCACAAAAACCGAGCGGGAAAGAGAGAAAAGGAAACGCCTAAAACAAAGCTGGTCGAAATCAATGTAGATAACAAAGAAATTGAGATTCCGAGAATCCGCACCTCAACTTAAGCTAAATCATACATTTCAAAGCATGCTGAAAGAAATCAAGCTAAAACGAAGTAAAGATTCAGCAAACAGTAATCAATCTGGATCTTTAGGCATAAAACAAAGGTAAAAATAGAGGAATTGAAGAGAAACCTCTGAGATTGATTCGATCTGCAGCCGGCAATGAGCTGTAAAGAAGAAAACAAACAAAACAAAAAAAATGGAGAAATAGAAATGATTCAGTGCAACTTTGTTTGTTGTATGGAGAGAGTAATGAGTGCCAGATTTTTTTTTTTTTAAGTGTGATTAAATATGTGTGATTGTGGAGAGCTCTTTTGTTTTTTAAGCTGTGGGGTAAAAAAGTGTTCGAGCGAGCGATAAAGAATTAGATGATTGGGAGCAACAAGGGAAGTTTGAGGCAGCCAATGAGATCGAGGGGGGATTTAACAAGTGCGAGTGTGACCTTCCGTACGTGTCAACCGACGCTTCCTCCTTTCTAGAACTGACTGAGTGAACCAAGATGACTGATGGAGTAGACTCACTTTCCCGTAGTCAAATCGTATTAAAAAGTTGAGTGTTGTGCAAATTTTTTTCTCTTATTTGGTATTTTTAGGTTTAATTATTTGGGTAAAATACACAAATGATTCCTCGATTATAGTATATTATTTTTTAAATCTTCGACTATTAAAAGTTATAAAATGGTCATTCGATTATTTATTATGTTCCAAACTCATCATTTTCCGTTAAAAAATTGGCGGTTATCTAATCTGGATGTTAACATAATGACTGAGATATTATAATTGTTTGAAATTCTTGGATCATATTTTATTTTATCACAATCAACATATTAACGTTTAACTCAAAATACTATCAAATTTTATAAAAAAAAGATGATTTTGGAACATAATGAATAGTTATGTGATCATTTTGTAACTTTTATTAGTTGAGAGACTCAACAAAGCAACACTCTTAAGTTTGTTGGGATTTTTTATGAAGCTCAATTGAACAACATACTAATTTTCCAAGAGGGGTGAATTGATTTTTTGAGATAAGGAAGTAAGTAGTATAAAGATGAGACAATTTGTACAATGATTTATAGTGGTTCGACTTCTCAACTAAGTCTACATCCAATACCTAAAGTATTCATTTAGGATTTTCTAACAAATTCACTAATTTATTCTTTCTTTTTGTAGGATAAAGAGATAACATTTTCAACTCCCTAACTTTTCAAAGGCTAAGCTAGAACCAATCCCATTTACAAAGGTTAAAAGAAGTAAACAAAAAAACCTTTTAAAGGAAGGTGTTTACAAAAATTTAGCTCACAAAAGCAAAACCTAAGGATATACAATTAAGCTCAAAACACATATATTTACAAGATAAAGAAAATGAAGATTGGAAAACTTTTCTCTTGTGTATGAATGCTTGGATAGGTGTTGGTAACCTTCTTCAAGTGTCCTCAACTTGTTTTTATAAGTTGGAATAAGTTTGTGGCTTTTGGGATATTTTGGAGTCGTTGGGGATTAATTTTCTGCAAAATAAAACTGCCCAAGACAGTGAGTATCGATACTCCTTTAATAAGTATCGGTACTCCTTTAATGAGTATCGATACTCCTTTAATGAGTATCGGTACTACCTTCATAATATTTAAATAAACTAGTCGTTAAAGATTGTTGGGCTTGACCAGTATTGATACTATGCTCATGGTATCGATACTATGTTCATGGTATCGATACTATGCTCATGGTATCGATACTACTGTGTAAAGTAGTATCGATACCCCTTGGGTATTGGTATCTATTTTTTATTATGAAATTTTAGCCATTTGGAAAACATCTGGTAGTATAGATACTACTTAGAGAGTATCGATACTTCTCTTACCTTTAGTATCGGTACCACATGAACAATATCAGTATTGTTCATATAGTATCGATACTGTAAGAACAATATCGGTATTATCACTACAGCAAAATGGGGGTTTAGCAGCATATTTAGCAGCGTTTTATGAGAAAACGCCAGAAAATAATGTACTTTAGTGGCATTTTTATACAAACGCCGTTAAAGGTCGTACTTTAGTGGCGTTTTAAGCACAAACGCCGCTCATTACACGTATTTTAGTGGCATTTTATGCACAAACGCCGCTAATTACACGCACTATAGTGGCGTTTTTATATAAACGCTGATAAATACTGTACTTAATGGGCGTTTTTATACAAACGCCGCTAAAGGTCGTACTTTAGTGGCGTTTTAAGCAAAAACGCCGCTAATTACATGTTCTTTAGTGGCGTTTTATACACAAACGCCGCTAATTACACATACTCTAGTTGCATTTTTATATAAACGCTGAGAAATACTATACTTTAGTGGTGTTTTTATACAAACGCCGCTAATGGTCGTACTTTAGTGGCGTTGCAAGCACAAACGCCACTAATTACACGTACTTTTATGGCATTTTATGCACAAACGCCGCTAATTACATGTACTTTAGTGGCATTTTTAAAAAACGCCGCTAAAGGTCGTCTTGATCCATTCAAAACGATGTGTTTTGGGAACTTTTGTTCTTACCTTCTGCTTTACCCAAAACGCAACACGCAAGCCTCGACCATCAGCATAGCATCTCGTTCATTCAGCTCTCATTTCACCCAAATCTCCAAACCCTAGCCCCGCACAACCACCATAGCCCAAAATCCACCATCAGCGTAGCATCTCGCTGCCGTCGTACTCTTCTGTTAGTCAAGCGCCGTCGTACCGAATGTTATTAGGGTGTGTTGGAATCTAAAATTCAAGATATTTTATGGTTTTTATACTATTTTGCAATTTCTTCATTGTCGTGCTTTATTAAATTGTTTGAGAATTTGGAACCGTATGAGCCCTTTCCGAGGTAATTACTGAAAACTGCTATTTTAACAACTCATGAAATAGTTAAACTGTTCCTTGTATTCTTACTTATGTCACCAAACATAGCATTAGTGTTTACAATTATGGTAATGGTTTAATTTTTTAGAATATTGAACTAAATGATGCAGGAATGAAAGCAGACATTTTCCTGTTATGGTGTTTTAGTTTGAACAGTTTTGATTGCTTATATATAGGAGCATATAGGAATTTTATCCATTATGGTTTTGCTCATTTTGACCCATTCTTATGGGTTTCACGTATTTCATCCATATATTTAGTCTTATGTTATCTAGTTCTTGAAAAACCTGGTAAAGTTAATTATTTTGGTATCTTGAGGACCACACTGTATAGCTCCATGAAATGTAATGTCCTGTTCTGATTTGTCTTCCCAAAAGATATATCTTTGATTAATAAGTAGGCTTTCAAATGCTTTAATATTTTCTAAGGATGGTTTCTGAACAAATGTTTTTATTGTAATTCTCATCACTTTCTCAATGCTGTTAAAGTCCTATTTCTATTCTCAATTAATCGTGAAGTAGGGATAGCCATATAGAGATAATTTTCTTGCTTTGAAACATGTTGCAATGTCATTTTAACAAAGGCCAGCCAAATGTTGAATTCTGGTACGAGTTTGCCCTCTTTTTACTTGTGCCTCATGCTATTCCTTTTCGTGATAAAAAATATGCAATTTTTATGTTGTTTTCTGTTAGGCATCACTAGAATGTTTCATTGATAAAGAAATGCAGCTTTTAGACCAAAAGGAGCTGTTCTATCACTCTATTCCGTTTTCTATTAAGTTAAGCTAAACGTGGTGAATTTTTAGGTTTTTCTGCAAGTGTTATATAATTCCATCTTTGATATCTGATTATGAATTATTGCTAGCCTTTAAGACATTGATCGTTTGTTTATCGAATATATCCGTAGTAAAAATTCCAAGTTCCTCTTACTCTTGTTAATGTCTCAGCTTCATCTTTTACATTATTGTTATTCTATAATGTGGTTTTTAGTGGTAAAAATTTCTGCAGTTAACATTAGTTATAAAGGAGTTAACACTGGTACTTTCAAAATATAAAGGAGTTAACACTAGTTATAAATATAAAGGACTTCCATTTGAAATTTAGTTAATATTTCATTATTAATAGCAAGATAAAATTTATTGACAGAGAAATTTTGTTTACTCACTACAGCAAAACTGACATGTAGCGGCGTTTTTAGCGGTGCTCCATCTAATCCATGACATGCACATACCTTATTACTTTATATAATATAATAGGTTTAGTTTAATTCATTTTTATAATCTTTTAACCATCGGTAATATCTTATAATCTTTCCTAATGTCATTATTACCAAAAGCATCGTCAATATCTGCGATTTCTGATTTTTGCTTTCTGTTTCAATTTGGTTTTTGGTCGTTCAATCTATTTTTTTCTTCAATCTGGTTTACAGAGCTTCCTTTCTTTTTTGGGTATATTTTTATTGTTACAGTACAAATCCCAGTTATTTTCTGCATATGTTCTGTGTGTTGCAGAATGTTTTTTTTCTTAGTTTATGACCTATGGCTTCCTGGAACTCGGCTTTTCTTTGATGGTTTAAGAATTTCAGAAGTGTTTTTCAGGTTAGTGTGATTTATAATTATTTTACATATAGCTGACAATGTTCATTCAAATTGTTTCCCCCCATTTTTCACAGTTATTATGTTCTTAGTGTTATGTTTCTATGATATGTTTGTTTTCCTTGTATTTCCACTATTCCTATATAATTGGTTTATGCCTTTAGTTTTGCAGAAAAGTAATCATAATGAATCATTATGATTTGTGAGTGATTATGTTGTGTTTTCTAGTTTTTATTATTGGCATCTATACCTTGGAATTTGAGGATCATACTGTTTGGACTGTGTTCTTCTTATTGTTTGTGAGAGTATTTCATCATGTTAGAAGTGTTATACCTTCTGAAACTAAAGAATGATGGTTTTCTAATTCATACAGGTTTCAGTACCTATCACGATGAGTTTCACCACACTCAGTTTTTGGAATGAAATCAGAATTTAGTTATAACATCTTACAATAACTTCATCATAATTACTTCAAATAAGATGTGCTTTTTGTGGAACATTTCTTGAATCCTGACCAAACTTTCACCGTCTTTTGAAAAGGATATCAGTCGTTAGATTCTGATAATTTGATGGAGCATTATATGGGTTTTGAGCACTCAGTTTTGTTTATAGAAATTGATAGTGCCTTTTAATTTGTCAATACAAAAGTTAAAATCACCTCGTGAACCCATTATGGATGTACTGCATGTCTCATGACTGAGACCTGAGTTGTAACATGTAATTATTTTCCAAATTCATGAATGTGTGATATTTTATTTAATTATGTTCCTCGATCTTCGAATGGCTTGCACTTTTA